GCATATATGTTTATATTATATGTATGTACCCACATTATCACACATGTACACTCCAATTAGCTCCCATCGGCTGTCGCCCTTCTGTATGCCATACTGAGATCACCCACCTATCTATAGATGCTAACCCCCAAGCAGCCATCTACATCCCACGTATCTACCACAAGTATCATGAACACAATATGAATACCTACTCTCCTACCTACCCCAGCCCATCGCTATCTCGTCCCGGTATTTGATCACGGTATGTGATATGCTAGATGTGGACAAAGCCAAACTGCGGCGGCTGTTTCTGTGCAACGACTGCATTCTCATTACCACAGCCACGTCACCACGCAATCTGTTTGGCGGATCAAAGCAGAGCTCAATGGCAGGCCAGAACGTGGACAAGGTGTGCGTGGTGTGGTACTGTATTTCAGTAGGGTTGTACATATGTATACACATATGTGTATTCTGAGTATGTTTGTATGGTGGTACCGTGTGTGGCATTCTATTGTATTATTGTTAGTTCGTACGATGGCTTTGAGCTGAGTTGCTTGAATGTGATATATAGTACGTCTAGGGGTGTGGTCTGTGGCCTATATCGTCTGCTGTTTTGACCGTGGCTGTCCATGTAGTGCACACTGCACGTGTCTCACATATACGCATTGCTTGAACACAGCTGCCGTCATTGCCCACACAAATGTATATCTCTGTCTCGAGCGTCTTACTAAAACTATCCAATACGTTAACTATCCCTGAAAGATCAAACTCCTACACACACACAGGTAGCTATAAATATAAGACACTCTACATATGTTCTACGCACACAGGTGCACATATGTCCCACTCGTAACTAACCAGCCCACCCGTAGCTAACCAGCCCACCCGTAGCTAACCAGCCCAATGCCCATCCCATACCCTGCACCCCCCCCACCCAGACGACCTTCCAGTTCAGTCAGATTTTATATCTGGAGATCACACAGACAGAGTTCATTGAGGCGTCCTCGAACGCTGTACGTGCGAAAAAGACCTCGAAACAGGTACGGATGGATGTTTATTGAATAAGATGTGAATAGATATTTATTGAACCAAATGCGTATGGGTGGTTTCGTGTCAACCTAATTCGAGTCCCGCAGGATTGGGAATGAAGAATTTAGAATTTGAGGTTATCTATCTATATCTATCTATATCTATATA